TAAGGAAAAAAAAAAGAAAAATATATTCAAATTGTGCGAGTGTAATTTCCGGCCATCTAGAAATGCCCTAATCATAAATTTTCTTACCTCAGCCCCAACCATGGTGGGGCTGAGGTGGGTGGTTCCTCAGTCTGTGAAAGTCCCTCCCTGGTTCACCTCTCTTTCCAATTCCTGATCTGCCACTGTTGATTTATATATAATTATTTTTGCGCTTATTTATAATGCGTCTATTGCAATTTTCATTTTATCCTCTCAAACAGTCCTAAGAACGTTCAGAGTTCGCTAATTCACCGGGGGATTCACCACCTTGACCCCGCCGGGGTCCTATGTAATTCTCATAACGGCTCCCCACCCCCTTTCAAAATCATGGCTACGTCCCTGATTCTGAGAGAAATTAACAAAATCACAATCTGTAGATGACGATGTAAGGTCGAGTTTTCGGAAAAATCGTAGTTTATACTATAGGCCTAAGTAGTAAAAAATTGCAGAGGCTGCGGCAAATTTTTGCCGACCTAATTTTTCCTAATTTCATGGGCTGGAGAACTCTGCTAATGATATTTGCTTTCAACCGTTTTATTCCTTATTATATAGCCTATAATATGTATGTAGGCCTATGTATCTCATAATACGATATACCAAATACAATATTATATTATATCTATAGCTATTGTTTTCTATTGGACAACCCAATTCCATAGGACAAATTGCCGCTAGGATTGCTTTATTTTTACTACAGATCGTATCGTTTTCTTTGTTTTGCACATTGACGATATCATATTTTGTACATATCTTTTGAAGGACAGGCAGGAACCTTGTCAAGACTTTATGTCGGCTGATCGTAACGTCTGAGCCAACAGAAGTATCGTTGTTGTTCTTTGCATGGTACGTCAAGCAATGTAATGGCTTCCTGCGAACCACATCAACCAAATATGGCGGACAAGTAAGGACGTCCTCGTAATTTGTTAACTGACATGAAGATCATGTTTAAGTTACATTCACTGAAATATATGAATTTCAGATTCAGATTTAGATTTATTTGGTCCTTGCGGAAACTCATTTAAGGGAACAATCGCAATACAATGAAATAAAAAAATACAAAGAAATAAAAAATAAGAATAGCAATACAGAACAGTATAAAATAAAAATATACCGAGATAAGACCTGGTAATGAGTATAGAGAGATTATATCTAGCCGTTATTGTTATGTAATCTGATGAAGAATGGAATGAACGAATTCAAATGCATTATATTCTAGAAAGTTATTATATATTACATTACATTAACATTGCATTGTATCATATTTTATCGCATTACATTAAATCACATTATATTATGTCACATATACATTACACATATTATATTATATAATATATTTTATATTATATTTTGTTATATATATAATAATCGTGTGTAAACTAGGAAAGGAAGTTCATTGGTGGCTCGCAGCGGATTTCTCTCGGACTAATGGACAAAATTGGAAAAGACCGCGTAATTTTTGACAATCCGGTGTATTCTATCGACCAATCAGGAGACGTCGCCGTCATCAAGACGTTAGGAGAAAAGACGTATGAGGTAAGCCGAGTAATTGATCATTCAAATTTCTAATGTGCCTATTTTTGTTATGTCTTAAAAAAGGAATATTTGTGTAATAACCACTACCATGATCACTGTTATCTAATCGCTCTCTTCTGACGAATTCCTGGGCACACTGTTGGTGATCATGGTGGTAATGAGGACGATAACTATTTTAAATACGTACCAAAATAATATGTTATGATGATCAGGCATTTAAGATAAGTATATGACCTATTGAACAAACGAAAAAGTATTGTTAATGATAAAATATAATACTAAAATGTAATTAATGCATGTTATTTGAAAAATATAGCATTAATAGTGAACGAGATTAATAGAAGTCAATTCTAATTTTTGTTTTAGGCTAAGCATGTGATTTTGGCGATGTCGCCAGCGTTGATCCAAAAGGTTCACTTCAATCCACCATTACCACCGCTTAAAAATCAACTTGCTGCTCGGTGTCCCATAGGTTCTGTTATCAAATGTATGATTTACTACAAAACGCAGTTTTGGAGAAACAGAGGTAGGGTTCACTTTCTATGATTTTATTTTTATATACAGTATATGCCTATCGCCCCCAAAAAGGTTTGGAGAAATTATTGGTCAGGTATATATTTTTAGATTCTCTTTGTTCGCTTGGTGTGTAGGTTTCTGTGGTTCATCGTGGAGCATCGATCCTGATCTTCCGGTCGAGTGGTCTTTGGATGACACTAAACCTGATGGCACCGCTCCAGCTTTGGTCACGTGAGTCAAACAGTCGTGAAACCTATCTCCCCACCCCCACCCATTCAACCCATTCTTTTTAAATACAAGTCTCCTTCTAATGAAAGACCATATTTCTGTGCCCCCCAGATTAACCTTTTATCTTTCATTTATAATAATTTTTTTTTTTTTAAAAGATCAAAGTTGCTAAAAACCCTGGTCGCAAAAGTGGTCTATTAACCAGATGTTAATCATCCGGTTGCATAAAGACGAATCTTCCTTATCGGAGGAATGTCTGGTTTCGAATGAGAGATTACAGCCTAATTATAATTATTGCAAATGAGCATGATAGCCGAATGCGTCCGTCAACATAGCCTTTGCAACATAAACCCAAGCCCACACGATGCCTTAAGATCAACAACCTATAACTTCTACAATTTCTTATAAATTTTATTTTCAAAACAGGTTTATAACAAATGAAAACACAACTTCTACAATTTCTTATAAATTTTATTTTCAAAACAGGTTTATAACAAACGAAAACACAACTTCTAAATTTCTTATAAATTTTATTTTCAAAACAGGTTTATAACAGCAAACAAGGCGAGAAAGTTCTGTCAGCTGACTGAAAACGAGAGGTAAGCTATGTACAGAGAACTTGAGTTTGGTAAAGACATTAACATATTTGGAATGTTTTGGTTATTATTTCAAATCTCAAAAGAACTAAGTATCAATGGAACTACTGTTTTAATAATGGAATAATAAGGATAATAATAACTTACTTACTTACAAACATATTTTACAGGGAAAATATTTTCATATAAAAAATATGTTCTAACAAATGGTCCATGAATTAAATATAAAGCAAACAATTTACAAATAATAATAATAATAATAATATTATGTGTTTGTATTCATTACTAGACGTGATAAACTGTGTCGGTATTATGCTAAGGTGTTTGGGACAGACGAAGCAATGCATGTAAGTCGTTATAATAGCCAAACAACGGTTGCCACGTTACTTACTGTATAAAACACCAGTCATTCAATGTAATAAGTGCTAACATAATCAAGCTCAGTTGACAGTTTTGATATATTCGTAGTGAGTACTATGTTCTGCCATAATTATGATATCTCCACTTTATAACCCCTCTGATAAAAAAAATGCAGCCCTCATAAAACCATCAAAATTGAACATTTACATTATAAAATGCTTCAGCCCAAAGTGCTTTTTTCCCTGACCTTAAAAGTGTGTTTAGCTTTGTTTCCTCTATGTTGTGTTATTGAATAAAAATAGCTAAACAGTTTTATATAATTTTAAGTTAGTTTTGCCTAGACCTGCTCATCAATAATAGAAATATTTATATTATATATACAGCCAATCAACTACTTGGAGAAAAATTGGATGGCAGAGACATATTCCGCAGGCTGCTATACTACGGTCTTCCAGCCGGGCACTATTTGCCAATACGGAAGGTAGGTTTCATCAACACCAATACATTTCAAC